TAAGTTGATGAATTTTTTTTGCATATGACAATAGAATTAGAAAAAAGAGCGAAAGTAATAGAGTAGTAAAATGATAAAGAAATTAATATAAAAGAAAATTTTAATAATAATTACTATATATATATGTAATCACTTCTATTGTTAAAAAATTCCTTAGAATGATTGGTCAGTATTCAATTATCATTATCAAATATCAGTATCTGAAACTGACAAATTTGTTCAGCTATCATTTTTTCTAGGCAACACTATGTAAGCTCAATTAAAACATCAAAATCACGTGGATACAGACATCACAGTTTGTATTATATTTTTTTGGATTTAAGAAAATGTTTTACATCTAATATAAAACAATTTCGACAATAATACCTCATTTTTTTGTTTATTTTAATATAAAACAGTTTTTTTATATATAAAATTTCATGCTACGCATTTTGACTTGGAAGTACATAGCTGGTTGTATTAGTAAAATTTTTTGTTATTTACAGTTTTTTGTTTAGCGTTTGGTTCTGAGCTGAAATTTTGCATTCATTTTCTTAACATAAAAATACATCATATTTTTTATAATAATAAAGCGAGGCCCTAAGAAATCGAACACTATGTGCCATTATTTTGAAAGGTTGTATGGTTGTCTACAATCATCATAAAACAAACATATTAGACATATTATCTGGTTATTTTTTCATTAGTAGCTATTACAAAATCTATTTTATTGATTTGATTGTGTAAAATGATCATTTAATTAATTTTTTACAGTCTAAAATTTTTATATTTACACTAATACTACGTATATAATAAAACTCTAAAAAAATATATACATACTACCACTAATAAAATTTTATAATTATTCTATATTATCGCTGATATTATATACGTATAATTCTTGTCAATCGTTATAATTGATTTTTTTATTCATAAATCTAAACAAGAATAATGCTTTGTTTATTTTATTGATACATTGAATAAAGCCCACCCTTACTTAGTATTGGTGATTTTAGAAAAATATTTTCTATTGATTCTAACTTTCAAATCAACTGTATACTATTTTATACAATTCTTATAAGATTGCTGTCAAAAGTCAAAAACAAAAAGAATTTATCTACATGAAGTTGTGAAATTTATAATTTTTAGACACACAAATGTAGAAAATAAAATATTTTGTTAAAAATAGCAATAGTATAATATGTAATTTCAAGAATAACTTACCTACTTAAATCAATTCTTAATATATACTGTTTGATACGACTTCTGATTTCTTGATCACCAATTAATCTTTGCTTTTTGTAATCATTGTACAAATTAGCTGGTACAACAAAAAATAATCTGATATAATCCTCTTTTGATAACTTGTTACGAAGTTTAGTTATGCCAATTGTTTTTATAAGATGTTCTCAAGCAGTCATCATTTGAAAAAGCATATCAGATGTAATAATTGCATTAATTGAGGGAAAGTTTTTGTTATTTGGTTGAAAATATTTACCATTGCTAATTGAATTGACAGAAGAAAAAACATGTATTTCATTCTGCTGTGTCAATTTTAATGTAGTTGATTCATTTGAATCTAAAGATCAGATTTCAAATTCTCCTCCTTCTTGTAACATATGATGTGCAATTTGTTCAAAGAAGTTCCCATAAATTGATTGCTTTTACTGTCTAATAAAGATAACCTCAATTCGTTCTTTAGTCTTTCTCGAATTAAGTTTTCAAGCCTTAAGATCACTTTATAACCTACATATTTCGATGCAAATTTTAAAGTTTTTTTTGTATATAGATTTATATATTCTACATCATTTGCTTCTGGGAGATTCGTAAAGATGTGTATAAGCTTATGACTTATATCATCATCATTTTTATTTTCTCCAATAAAATGAAAAATCTTTTCGTCACATCTTACTATAGCATTCTGGAGTTTATTTTGTTGATCTTGATTATTGACTTTTTTCAAAACAAAACTAGGGATTTCTCCCTATTTGAAAACAGTTCATTAACTTTATTGTTTTCGAGATCAGGATATAGAATTTTTTTACATTTTGTAATCTTGTGTGAAGTCCACACCGGCATATAATGTATAGTTGCACCATAAAACCTATCAAAATTTTTATAGTAGTTTTTGCAAGAACATATGATAATTGTTTTTGCATTTATTTCTTTCAGTTCGGTTGTATCAGCAATGTACCAAATATTTAAATCATTGCAATATATAATAAGATTAATTTTATTGACAATATAAAAGACCTCTTTATTGTTAAAAAGAATCGGACACAGTTGGTGGCAACTATCAAACACAACAGTCCTGTTTTCTTGGGCGAGTAGGTATAAAAGATAGTACCCAAAAAATGTTTTGCCTATGCCAGGGTTTCCTGTAACTCGAAGTCTTCTGATTTTTTTGTCAAAAATGATTTTTGCAAGATCAAGATAACAATCCCGCACAAATAAGGCTTCAAGTTTTTCAAAAAATAGTGTGTTGTTTGGAAAATTAAGGAATTTGTCTTTAATTTTAGCATTTTTTAAAATGATCCAAAGTTCGTTAATTTTTGGTTGAATTTATTACCATTGTTTATAACATTATATTCAACTTTTAGACGCTTTGATTTATGATCTAAATAAACCAAATAACATTATTAATGTATTAAGAATAATATAAAATACAAGAAATTTAATATGTAAAAAAGCTTACTCTCAGGGTCAGATCTGCTAAAATAATTGGTCATTTCATTTAGTGATGTTTTTTTAGTCTGTAGCAAAAAAAATAATATAGCATCAGAACTTTTTATTTATAAGGGAATATATATAGTTAATTCCTTTTACAGAGCTAATGTTCTTATAATCAATTAGAGTAAAGATATAATATTGCAAGTATATGTATTTAGAGAAGCATAGTCTCTTGAAAGCCAGGTGCTCTTCTTCTTATAATACCGCAGTATAGAGTATAGTACAATCCACAATATGAAAATGCACACTAGGGCATAATACAATCTACAAAATAAAAATATATACTAGGGCGTAATATAATCCACAAAATGAAAATACACACATGTAGTTAAAAACTTGCAAGACATCTAAATGCTTTTCTTTCCATAATACCGCAGTATAGAGCATAGTATATTTACAATACTTTAATCTTAATAATTTTAATTAATTTAAATTAATTCGAATTGTTTTAAAATATATAGAATAAATTAAAGCATGACAGCGAATTTTGCATTTCAAGTTCTGAAGATAAAGCAAGTACAGAAGAAAGAAAGAAATCTAAAGATTCGATTCAGATAAAATCGAAAAAGTATAAATTATTTTAATTTAATAAAATATTAATTTATAAATATCGCAAATAATTTACAAAAT